TAAAAAGCTATTTAAATAATCGAAAGCATTTTGTATACGTTGATGTAGTTTCACCAGTAAACTTGCTTGATATAACCTGATATTACATTGTTATTTCAGAATATCAATAATGAACTAGTAAGAATTTCTGATTGGTTTAAGACAAATAAACTGTCTCTTAATATTGATAAAACGAAATGGATTTTTTTCCATCCAAATCACAAAAAAAATCTTATACCAAATGAAATGCCACTGCTTTTAATTGATAATATACTTCCAAAAAAAGTAACAGTTACAAACTTTCTTGGTATTTATATTGATGAAAATTTGTCATGAAAAAGTCACATAAAAAATTTGAGTAGTAAAATATCAAAAAGCATAGGAATTTTGTACAAAGCAAGGTGTTTTTTAAATAAACATACATTACTTAAACTATATTATTCGCTCATTCATTGTCACAATAACTATGCGAACATTGCGTGGGGTAGTACTAATAAAAGTAAACTGGAACCTCTTTATCGTCGACAGAAACATGTTGCACGCCTTATTAATTTTAAGGATCGCTTTACTCATGCCAAGCCTCTATTAATTGAAATGAAAGTCTTAAATATATATGAGCTTAATATTTTTAACGTTATATGTTTTATGTTTAAATGTAAAAACAATATTTCTCCTGTACCTTTTCATAATTTGTATAACAAAAAAGAAAAAACTAAGTACATTTTACGAAATGATAATAATATTCGTCAATCAGCTTATCAAACTAATTCTGGAAAAAACTGTATTTCATTTTGAGGAGCATTACTTTGGAATAAAATAGTTTTAAAGAAATTTGACTTTTCTCAAGAAGTTAGCATCACTCTTTCAAACAAAAACTTAAAAAAGTCATTTTTTAATTAGATGATATATCTATATTCTTTTAACTTTTTGTTTCTTTTTTTAACTTTATATTTAACACTGCATTAATAAATTTTATAATTTAACAATTTGTAAATAGTTGTTTAACATTTTTGTTAAAGGTATCTTAAAACTGTATAACAAAACCTTTAACAAAAAGTTTAACAATTATGCTAAAGATATCTTAAAACTGTATAACGCATCTATGTATTTATAACGGAACCGTTTTTCTTTTTCTTTTTTTCTTTAAATTTGTTTATGTTTTCAATTCTTAATTCTTAATTATTTGTTATCTTCAAGTATGTTAAGTATATATTCTATTTAAAGTTTATTTATTTTGAGAATATTTTATTAATACGAAATATTAACACGAAATTTTTTTGGGGTTCTCGACGACAAGACCTTACGGTCTTCTACGAGTTTCCGCGTTCTTTTATTTCTTAATAACGATCATGTATATATATATACATTGTTAACGAATATTTATTAAATCACAAAGTTGTAAAATTAAAGAACAAAATATATATATATATATATATATATATATATATATATATATATATATATATATATATATATATATATATATATATATATATATATATATATAAATATATATATATATATATATATATATATATATACATATATATATATATATATATATATATATATATATATATATATATATATATATATATATATATATATATATATATATATATATATATATATATATATATATATATATATATATATATATATATATATATATATATATATATATATATATATATATATATATATATACATTACTTATAAAAAAAGGGGAATAATTTGCTCACAATATGTTGTGACTTTATATGGCGTTTAGATTTGATTCAATATTTAGTCATGCTTTTAATTTGTTTTAATATTTTTTAGGTTACTACAGGGTTATTCATTCTTATATGCGCGTCTATTCATTTTTATATGCGCTTTTATTCATTCTTATATGCGCATTTATTCATTTTTATATGCGCCTTTATTCATTCTTATATGCGCATTTATTCATTCTTATATGCGCCTTTATTCATTCTTATATGCGCATTTTTTGCACATTTTTTGCGCATTTATTCATTTTTATGTGGTTTACAAAAGCAATTGTAAAAAAGCAATTTGAACCAAAAAAAATCATTTAATAAAATCATTGATAAAACAGTTTATTATTTCAAAGCAAATTTTTCTTATTTCCTAATAAACGAGTTTAAAAATACTTATAAGACGAAGACTTTTTACATTCGATGATGGTTTATTTAACTTAGTATTAGTTTTTAGTTTAATTTTACTACATTATATTAAATTGTATTATTGTATTAAATTTCTTGATTGATTAAGTTATTTTTTATCTAATTATTTACTTTTCTAGATTTATTATTTAATTATTTAAAATTATTAATATCAAATTTTTACCCTATGGATGGAATAGAAAATAATCGTAAAACAAGGAAAAATGTTACAAAAGAGTACATTGAAATGCTTTTTTTTTTTTTTTTTGTATGTATTTAGGTGCTCCCAGAAGTCCTTACGGTCTTATCATAGAGCACCGCGGGTGAGCATTTAACAGGAAGTTTACGCCTCCTTCCGTACCAATGTCGCTTGTTGGGCTGGAACTGGCATCGAACCTCGGACCTCTGAGTTCTGAGCCAGAACTCTAACCACTGCGCCACGGCTGCTCAATGCTTAAACATTTAGTTGAAAGAAATCAATCTACAACAAGCATTTCCACTTCTCTTAATTTATCGAAGCGCACAGTTCAAAATCTTGTCGTTAAGTTAAACAGAGGAGAATTCGACGACATGACTGCATTCAAGTCGTCTTCTGATAAAAAACGAGGTAAAAGACCTATAAACGCACAAATAAAAAATATTATCGAATTATGCGTACAAGAAAACAATCTTTGCACACAAGAAACAATAAAAGAAAATCTTTTTACAGCAGGCTTCAACATGTCTCAGCCTACTATTTCAAGAAAACTCAAACGCTCGGATTTATCAAGAAAACGTGTTGTGCATGTGCCAGAAGAACGAAATTCAACACGAATTATTAATGCACGCTATGCATTTGCAAGCAAAATTAACGGAATTTCAGATGAAAAACTTATTTATTTGGATGAAACTGGATTTAATGTGCACACTAACAGCACATATGGTTATTCGCTAAGAGGTGCGCCAGCAATTTTACAGTCGCCTGCAAATCGTGGCAATAATGTTAGTTTAATTTGTGCTGTTTCAACAATGGGAGTGCTTGCTTATGAAACAAAAACTGGAGGCTGGAATGCAGATTCATTTTGTACTTTCATAACTACAATGATGGCACCAGCGATTAGGAATGCAAATGTGGAAGCGCCGGTGCTTGTTATGGACAATTGTAAATTCCACTAGAGTCTTTCTGTTAGGCAAACACTAGCCTCTCGTGGTACAGCTATTAAGTATCTGCCAGCTTACACGCCACAGCTTAATCCAATAGAAGAACTTTTTTTTTCTTTAAAACATACTAACAAACAGGGAGAAAGGCCTCGAAATACGGATGAGGTAATCAGGAAACTTAAAAATATTATGGATACTACAGAGTTTAATATAGTTCCATTTTACAACCATATGCGTAGTTATATAAATCAAGCGCTGGCTCGGCAACCATTTCTTAAATAAATAACAATGAAAACAACCTAATTTATATTTTAAATATGTCTATATAAAAATTTAAAAGCGTATTTATCGTTTATATTAAATTATATTAGAGATTTTATGGGTGGTTGACGCATATACAAACATAGGGATGTATAATTTGATATTAATAATAATTGTAAATAAGTAAATTTAAATCGAGATAAATGAATAGTTAGATAAATAATAACTTAATCAATCAAGAAATTTAATAATAAAATTACAAAGAACTAATATAAATTAAATAAACCATCATCGAATTTAAAAAGTCTTCGTTTTAAGTATTTTTAACCTCGTTTACCTGGAAATAAGAAAAGTTTGTTTTGAAAAAATAAACTGTTTTATCAATGATTTTATTAAATGATTTTTTTTGGTTCAAATTGCTTTTTTACAATTGCTTTTGTAAACCACATAAAAATGAATAAATGCGCAATAAATGCGCATATAAGAATGAATAAAGGCGCATATAAGAATGAATAAATGCGCATATAAGAATGAATAAAGGCGTATATAAAAATGAATAAATGCGCATATATGAATGAATAAAGGCGCATATAAAAATGAATAAATGCGCATATAAGAATGAATAAAGGCGCATATAAAAATGAATAGACGCTCATATAAGAATGAATAACCCTGTAAAATGAGAGGAATGGGAGGAGGGACTCCACGGGAAACAGTTAAAAATGTTTTGAATGCTATCATGGAATATAGGAATTATTTAGTTCCTTATTTTAAATGCATAAAAGGTGAGCGTTGAATGCGAGTTTGTAGCTATTGCCTCTTATATAAGACTGAAATAATTTTGTTAACAGTAAGTAGCAGAATGTGAAACAGTAATGCTCATTTTTTCATATTCATTATTTGCAAATATATTTGCGGTTGTATTTTATTATAATTCAGTTTTTTTATCTATAACTTTCTTTAACTAATTAATATAACTTTCTTTAAACTAATTTGTTTCAATATTGGGATTTATGTATTTATGAAGTAAACTTATTATTATTCTAAATAGTGTTGCCACTTGTGTTGAATTTTAAAAACACGTGTATATTAAATTTAGGCTTTGTGGGAATAAAAAAGACTTATTTTCTTATATCAATTCAATAAACAAAGGTTTTTGCAGAAGAGTATCTTTCTCTAAAAAACCGAAACAGAAATTCGTCAAAAAGCAATTTTAAAATTAAAGAATGCGCTTGGTGTTTTTTTCCTGGTAAAAAAAACTTTGCTCGCCAAAATGCTTTGCAAAACAGTCTCTAAATTATGAAAAACAGTTTTGTTTTATATAATTTTTTTTAATTATATCTTAAAATAAAACACTTAAGTCAAATGCAAATTGTACAGAAAAAACTGAAAAAAAAAATGCTACTTTAAGTAATAACGATTAAATTGAAAAACTAAAAAAAACAGTAAAATCACCTTCCGGATTTTGAAACTCAAATTTTTTCATTTCACATACAGTCTTAAATTTTGCGCCATTAAGACTAATTTGAAAAATTCCAGTTATTGTGAAACCGTTATCGTAATGTTCTTGACAACTATTTGCTGGTCCTGCAGCTAAAATGTATATTTTTACATTTTCATACATGTTTTAAGTGACTTTATTAGTAAAATAAGTAGATTAATATATTAAGTAATTAAGCATTAAAAAAATAAGCTGAAAAAATTAGAGGAAGTGCAGCATATTTGAAATCATTTAGTATACTGAATAACATAAAATGTGAATAGCTACATCTTTATGTCAAAACCATAATCTTTAACATCATGTGACCCTTTGATGAATGACCAATAGAAACGCAGTTGAAAGTTTAGTGCAAGTGAGGTCATAATGTCAAAAATGTATTTTAAAAAAAATGTGTCTTTAAATTTGAATCCTGTCCCATCATTTTTCTAAAGATATAAAATTTATGTCTTTCATATTTAATTAAATTTTTTATCTTTTAATATCGGAATAATATTTTTCATATTTTAACAATACAATACTTCATAAATTTAAGGCTTGAAATTTAAGTGAAATTTAAAATTAATTTCAAATGTTGCTATTTTAATATAAACTCAGTAAATGTGATATCAAATAGTCTTTATTATATTACAAAGCTAAATTTATTTTACTTTCAGAAATGTCTGTGGTTCACTAAGACAATAAAAAAAAGATCAGCAGCAATATTGGTTGTTTGAAAGAAAAATATGTAACTTTCAAATGTGTCAAAGCTGTATGACGTTCCCAGGACATTTTAGTTTGTCAATAATAAGTCCTTCCATAAATCTCAATGATCGATTTCTTCGAGACTAAAATACCATAAATTGTAGATCGAATCGGTTAAAAAGCAAATTGATGCAATGAGATTAACTGAAAAAGTCTCTTATTGTTACAGAAAGTAAAAAAAAAAAAAATTAAAAAAAAAATAAAAAAAAAATAAAAAAAAAGTAAATAAGAAAAAATATTAAAAAAATAAATAAATTAACTTCTTCTTAAATAGATTTGAGAAGAAGTACATTTTCTGATTCAACTGTTTTTGGTTCTCTATGACTTTCATAAAACTCTCAATGACGTTAAAATAAAATAAAAACAAAGTGAAAAATTGTAACTTGCTTTTTTTAAAATGGAAAAAATAGTAATGACAAACAAGAAAAATAGTAGGAACAATAGACTGGTGGCCAAAAGTGTGTATCCATCAAAGATTTTTTTTAAAAATATTCAAAACCAATTTTTAAATTTTTTAAAGGTTTTTTATCATTTTTATTGGTTTTTAAGGATAACAATAATATAATTTAAAATATATGCGAAATAATATAAGTTTTTATGGTTTAATAAGGTTTTATGATAAAATGTTTAAAAATTTGTGTTTTTTTTGGGGTGGATACACACTTTTGGCCAGCAGTGTATGTGAGATTCAGCTTGTGCAGGATGCGATTCTCTTACTTGGATCTGTGATTATTGTAAATAATTTACTTATCTTTAGTTTTTGAAAGATACAGGGTTACCCTATTTCAAACTACCTGCATTTAATGTATGATCCCAATTTTTGTCCCTTTTTTAATAATTTTAAAATTTCACTTGCTTTTCTATCACAATTTATTTTTTTATTTTAACTAATGAAGAATTTTATATTGCAGATTACTGTTTTGTTTTGAGTCTCTCATTCAGTTTTTGTTCTATTTTCTAAAAAAAAACTGTTATTCCAATTAGCTGCACTTCATCTATAAAAAAAAATTAAAGACAAAAAAAAAATGCAATCAGAATAAAATAAACCAACAACATCAAACAGAAAATTTAATGTCTCGGTAGATGGTAGAAAAACCTTAAAGAAATTAAGAAACTGAAAAAAAGGATTTAATAATATATATACATATTTACGTGACAAGAAATAAATTAGATAAATATTATAACAGCATAATTAATCAATAACAATAATATTCTCCCACATCGTAAACAATAAATTGGGGATTAATTACATTGCACATAAAAAGTATACTCTAAATTTGACAAAAGTTGTTTAAAAAATTATAAAATCTAAAAACATTCCAATGGTGTTATTACCGATTGCTTAAAACTATGGAGAATATTACTTAAGTTTCGTTAAGAACACCAGAGAAGACATGATGGAACTCTACATATGATGTTATATGTTAACTTTTAGACCCAAGAGTAATAGAAAAGGTCTCTAAAATCATGGACGCATTAAAATTGCGTCTCAGCAAGTTTATAAAAACTTGTGATGCTACATAATTATAAATAATTAATAAGATACATTTTAAACTTTGCCTGCTCTAAAACAGTTTCAAGAATTGAAAAAAGTATTTTGTATTTTAAATACTTTTTATACGGACTTCAATTCAGGGTTCTTGATTACGCGTTTTTAAAACAAATTTCTTCGATTTTATGGGAATGTTTCTGTTAACGTAAGACAAATAATTTTCGAAAAAAAGTTTTGTTACGTTTTAAAAAACAAAAGTGTTGCTAGCGACTATGATTTTCAAGTCTGAGTTTAAACTTTGTGTGGGTTTTGTGTTTAACAAAGTTTATTTTTAATGATGCTTTAATTTAAATTATAAATTTATCCGATCTAACATTAAAATATTATTCAATAAAATATATCAAGAGTACTAGAATAATTAATAATTAAATTTCTCCCACTGTATGTGAGTAAAAAAATGCTTCATCGGCTAAAATTAATGCATGTGCTAGTTTTGACATTTAGAGTAACACTTTTTTTGAGGAATATATATATATATATAAATACACATGTGTATATATATAAATATATATATATATATATATATATATATATATATATATATATATATATATATATATATATATATATATATATATATTTATATATATATATATATATATATATATATATATATATATATATATATATATATATATATATATATATATATATATATATATTATTTATGGAAAATATTATATATATTATTTGTAACATTTTCGCGTCAAATTTAAAAAAATTTTTTTCACAACTTTCTAGAGGCGTCGCTAATATGGTTAATTTTTAATGGTTAGTATCTTTTTATTTTATTACTAAATGACTATTTCGAAATAGGTATTTTAAACTTTTTGCTCTAAATTATCTTGAAAAGACATGGATCTAAGTAGTCTAAAGAAAACTTGGCAACATATCTAACCGTATAAACCAAACCTTAACAGTTTTCCGTGCAACAGTGACTCAGAAAAATATTCTAGGGTGCTTCATGGAATAAGGTAAAAGGTATAACCGGAAACCGGAACAGGAAAGAATAACTGACTCAGTTAGATTATGTTCATGAACTTCTTTTTGCTTTGAGTACAATGCCAGAGTGTTTTACTTTGATCATCTATTAATTAATTTATAACTTTCGTTGTTTAAATTGTTTAGCTTATGATATTAGCTATAAAAAAAATGATACAATACCTTCCCAAGTAGTAGCTCAGAATTCTTGGTGCCTTAAACAAGTTATCAAGAGCGCAGCTTGTAAAAAAAATTTAATGCAAAGAATAATGAAAGTTGTTGTCTCAAGAGTGGATGATTTTGTTTAATTTTTATCAAATGTTGTTTTGTGTTTAAGTATTTTTTAAGTGTTGATTTTGTTTAATTTTTTTTAAAGTTAAGTGTTAAATACATCTTCTAATGAAATAGTACCAAATACTATAAAAATACAGTTAACCCTTCTAGAGCCCTCGTCATCTGTTGTGTATGTGTATGTGTGTGTCTGTGTGTGTGTGTGTCTGTGTGTGTGTGTGTGTTTGTTTAATGTTCTACATACTTTTATCTGGCTGTATATATTTAAAAAAATATTTTAAAAAAATTTAATGTTATAGTTGCAGTGTATTTCAAGAGACAATGCTTTTTGAAATCTTAAGCAAGTTCAGTGAAATGATAACAATCGCTCATGTCAGATAAAATAGTAATATACAATACTAAGATAATAAATTTAAAATTATTTACAATCAACTAAGTTAATTAAATATGTACAAATTCAAAGGTGTTATTATTTATTTATATTGTGGTACAATGACATGAGGCCGGGTGAATAAAAAAGAGCAATTGCTTTTTACTCAGTAATAGGTCAACTTGACATGAATAAAATTAAGCAATTTTGCTTAAGTTTTTATTTACGTAAAACTGAGCAATTACTGAGTAAATTGTTTAACTTTACGTGAAAAAAAAATTGAGAAAAACTGCTGAAGTTTTTATTCACGTAAAGTTGATCAATTACTAAGTAAAAGTATATCCTCATTTTTATTCACCCGGACTATGTTCTATTATGAGTCTGTGCTTTTTTCCAGAGTTTAGTAAGATCATTATTTGTTAAACTTTGTTGCTATATAATTAACAGCACTGTCAATAATATAGTACCAATTAGTACTGATAAATTTTTAGAACATAATTTATTTATGTTTACTTTATTGTACCCACAACCTTTATTTACCATTACTAATTTATACTTATATTTTAAAGTAACAGATCATTTTAACTTTTTTAATTTTTTGAACGAAGTTAAATTATATAACATCTATTAACATCTATATAATTATCATTACAATAACATCATATAACTCTTAACATCTTTTAGTAACTTTTGAGGACTATTAATTAGTGTTTTTTAATTACTAAGGTTGACCTAATTTTATGAATGTGTTTATTATTTCAGCTGGTTTAATTATTTTCAGCTTGTACCATTGTTTTCAAACGATAAATAAATCTAAACTTTATTTGGAAAAGAAGTAGAATGCAACATTCAAAAAGTGACTTTTAGATCAAGTCTGTATATCTGCACAGTGGGACAGAGTGTGCCAAAATACAAAAAAATCACTTCGGCATTGTATTCTGAAAACATGTCATAATGGTGAAAATATGTTTATTAGAGGAAATATATAGTTAAAAAAACATTTAATATTAATTTAAACGTTGTTTTATGCGGTTATATACACGTGAATTTGACATGTGTTTCAAAATGCTTTTTTGCATTTTTTAATAATCAACTTTATTACGCTACTATTGTTTTAAATTAATTTTACTGAGTATGATTCTAAAATATATTATTTGAATTAACTTTGTTTTTTTCGCTCAAAACAATTAAACGTAAGTGTAATCTTCAGTTTTTATGCATCAGTGACAGGCAGTTTTGGCTTTTTTTTTGCTACTAACCTTTACTATTAGGTATCAGATAAACCGTCCTGCAATATCCTCCAAACATTTGATTATGTAAATCGGATGCTTAATGTATATTAACTGCAATTTATCATAAATATTTTGCCACTTTTTGCAACTAATAAAGTTATAACAAATAACTCATACTCAATTCATAGTATTTATTGCAAAAACACGTTTTTTATTAGTTCTTGAAACTCAAATATTTTTCATGACTTTTTATCTGCAAATTAATTATGCAAGATTTTTTTTACCAAAGGTTTCAATAATTTTTTTTTTTAGTTATATATATGATACTTGCTGATTTCGTGTCTTTTTCTCTCCATCTCTCCTCCCCCCCCCCCTTCTTCATTTTCCTCCTTGAAAAAATATTTTTATAACCTTTTCAGTATATCTAATGCTTTTACATATAGTGTATGCACTAATAATATTTTACAGACACTTGTCCGCAAGATGCAATAACTTCAATTTTGTTTTTAGATAAAATATTTTGATCTTTTCAACTATTTAAAAGATAACAAAATTTCTATTCAAGATACTGAGAAGTCATATATTCATTTGCTAACATTCTTTGAGTTATCCCTTGATCAGAACAATGAAATTATTTGGAGATCAAAACTTATGAACATTTTAGCACATTTTAAATATCGCTGGAATGTCTGTAAACGCAGAGAATCTTTATTTATTAAGAACAATACTAAATGGCTTGATAATGAAATTAATTTAAATGATTTTGCTGCAGGCAAAATAACCATTTCTATAAGTTCTCAATTTACTTCCAGTTCTGGTCGACCAACAATTACTGACTTTTAAGAGTGTTCTTCAAAAACAAAGTATCGACGTGTTAGTAAAATCCAAAAAAGTCACTCGTCAAATGAGCTAATATTTGCTTCAAAAGTTTCATTAAATAAATAAAGAAAAATAAAAAAGCTAAAGCAATCAACAAAATATATTTAGATAAGAATGTAGATTCTTCGATGCTTTCTGGAAATGAACCATTGTCGTTGATGCTAGATTCAAATATGACCAAAGCTTCGTTTCAACTCCATAGAAATGCAGCAATTGAAAAAGAATGCAACCTGTATCCTGCATATAACAATATAAAATCATCAAATTTTTTGTGTTATTCTAATAATATGATTTTTACTGACTATACTGCAAGTATACCACTGACAAGTTTATGTGACCATACAGCTCAAAGACTTTGTCAAGTTCAAAATGAGGTTTTATGTATGCTAGAAACGTTTGACCTGGTATCTCTTCATTATAAAGCAGGTTTTAATGGGTCTACTGGTCAAAGCATATATAAACAAAAAATGTCTGTTGAAAGTTTTCGCGACTTTAAAAGAGAAGAATCATGTTTCTAACTTGCCTGGTTCCACTTCAGATTACAACTTATGATTCAAGTTACATATGATTACATATCATTCAAGTTACAATGATAGATAGTAAAGTCCATACTGCTCTATCAAATGTAACAAGCTCTAGTCAATGTTGCTGTATATGCGGGTGTTCACCAAAAGACATGAACAATGTTGACAAAGTTATGAAACTTCCATACTCACCGGATGAGCTTCAATATGGATTATCTACACTTCATGCATGGATAAGATTTTTTGAGTGTCTCATACATATTTCATTTAAGATACCAATAAAAAAATGGTAAGCAAGAGGAGACTTAGAGAAATCTCTTGTTAAAGAGCAAAAAATGAAGATACAAAAAGAATTTCAACACAAAATGGGACTTATTGTTGACTAACCAAAATGTGGAGGATCTGGAAACTCAAATGACGGCAATACTGCTCGAAAAGCTTTTTCAAATGAAGACTCGTTTGCTGATATTACAGGAATAAACAAGGAACTAATTGTAAAGTTGCATATAACCCTAATTTGTATATCAAGTGAATTTCAAATAGATAATAGTAAGTTTCGCTTACTTTGTCTGGAGACCGCATAACTCTACTTATGCTTGTACCATTCGTATTACATGCCTCAGAGTCTTCACAAGATCTTAATTCATAGAGCAGAAGTAATAGAAAATCTTTTCTTACCAATAGGTCTATTTAGTGAAGAAGCTCAAGAAGCTAGAAATAAAGAACTTAGAAAATACAGGAAACATCATCCCCGTAAAAATTCAAGAACAAAGAAAAACAAAGATGTAATGAAAAAACTTTTATGTACATCTGATCCAGTTATTTCATCTTATAGAAAAACTGTTTCATCTGTAAAAAAGAAATTTCCTCCGGGTGTTGTTGAACTTTTTATTTGCGAGAATTCTACGTTCTAGAATATAGATCTAGCTCGTAATTTTTAATGGTAATTAAACTAAAAAATAAACTTTTTTAGCAATATATATGAGCATGATATTCATTTTATATGGTTTGTATAATTAGTTTATAACAGTTCTAATAAAAAAAAATTAAAAATAATTTTGGCACAAAAAACGCGATTTTATCCCACTGTGATCTGTCGAAAACCCAATTTATAGTTAAAGCGATGCTGCAGCCGAGCCGATATCTCTATCTTTCTGAATATATGTCAAAGACCAATCTACAAATTAGTGACATTTTCTGTATTCCTTTTTGTTATTAACTTGAATATTTGCTAACTATTATTTTTTTCAAGTAAAACTCTTAGTAATTATAATGACTTTTTTTCTAAGCGTTATGTTATATCGATATTTTTACGATATAGTTTAACTTTAAATAAATAGAAAATTACTTAAAATAACGATAAATATTATTTATAAAAATATAATTAGTTAAAATAATATTAAAATGTATTTTATCAAAAAATAGTTATATAAAGAAATTATAGTAGAAATATTATGGTCACAAGTTTTGCCTAAACTTCTCATACTTTGATATCAAGTTTTGAGTTCAGAATTATATCAATAAGTGATTTTATTTTGATATCATATTGATATCATAAACTTCTCATATTATGATATCAGGGTTTGAGTTCAAAATGATATCATTAAGTGATTTCATTTTGATATCATATTGATATCATAGTTGTCTCATATCATGATATCATATATATCATAGTTTGAAATCATTATGATATCAATATGATATTAAATTCCTGACTGGTTAACAATGTAGGATTATGTTTCCATATTTTTGTAGCACGTATTTTCCACATTTTTGTAGACGGTTGATAACTTAAATAAAATCATGTAAAACATAATTTTATTTAAGTTATCAACCGTCTGAAAATTCTTTGTAGTATTCAACGAACTATTTTTTAGTAGTGAAAAACAGTAATAATTTTTTTTTATTGTTATTTCAGTGAATATAACATTGCAAGGAGATATTAAATATTTTTTAAGTGATGCAACTCAAATACAACATTCAATTTTCAGCAACAACTTGCACTTTTTTTCATAGAAAATATTATTTTCAATTTTATTGCATAAAAAATATTTTCTTTTTTAAAGTTGTTTTATCTTTAGAATTAAAAAAAGGTACATTTTTATAAATTTTTGATCATATTTTTTTTTTGCAATAGTTTCTCATAAAAACGAATATTATTTTTAAGATTTTTAATAAATTTTGCTTTCTTTGATTTCTAGATTGACCTGCTTTTAAAATTTTTTTTTTTTAAATGTTTGGAATTCTCTATATGTTTAAGCGTTTTGGGAGCAACTCTAGAAGTTTTTTTTGTTTTAAATATTTTTATTTCCGGGTGTTTATAAAATACGTTTAAAGGTATTAATACCTCTAAATATATTCTATAAAATAAAATAACACCGGAACTGAAAAATTTTAATAATTTTTGTTGTTTTTTAACCAACCGTAAGGTAAAAGATCAATACTTCTGTCTAACAAAATCTGTGTAGTAGTTTAAGATCATCTGTACACTTTTGTCTAAGATCATTTGCAGATTTATTTTACTCAACAACATCTGTCTAATATCATCTGGGAGTTCAGTGATCCTTAACAACATTTTTAAAGTGATGTAGCTACATCTGGTTATTTTTCTCCTAGTCCAATAAAATCCGGAAGAATTTCATCGAGATGTAACTATATCTGGAAAAACCATATATGAAACTACATCTGGATAATATAATTTATTAATTTCATAAAATTTTGTAATGATATTTAACGTAATTGAAAAGATGTAACTACATATGTAAAGTTTTTAGATGTAGTTGCACAGATGTTGTTATTCTTAGATAATTGTAAAGATGTAACTTCACCTGTATTAATCATATACTTTTTACACAGATGCTATTGGACATTAATAAAATTTTAGATTTTGTTAAAGATTTTATTATATATATGTCAAAGTTTAATAATTTATATTAAGGAATTCTATTCCTTTACCTAATGTACAATTGCATACATACTCTCGTCGATTTCTTCCTGCACATGATGGGTAGCATTTACATTTCCCACAAGGGTTTGGTGTCAAATTGCAACTGAGAGAACAGTTTGGCTAAATATAAAAAGTATTGAAAAGTTCAAAGTTATACGTAAATACAAGTACATTATGTAACATGGTAAAATTATGACATTAAATTTAATTTGTAATATTAAAACATTTAATATACCAGTTTAGTAGAAATATATATGAATCCGTCAGCTTGAATGGTGTTGGGTGTATCATTGTTGAAAAATCTACATTTTGATATATTTTTATCACCAATATTTACTTCAATTGATTTGCATTCTTTATTATTATTATAGCAAGCCGATACGCAATCTTTATCTTCAACGTATGTTTCGACCACATTTGTTGTTCCATTTACTTTTTTACCTCTATAAATGGTGTAAGAATAACGCGTTAACGATTTTTGCGCTGGGTAAAGATACTGTGTTGTGATGCTTTCAAGAAAGCCAATCAAAAGAAAACAGTATACGTAATTTTTACTGTTTGACATTTTTTTTTTTAATTTTCTGTATTTTCATCAAATTTTATAGACAAACATAAAAAATTTAATTAATAATATAAGTATTAACAACTCAGACAAATTTACACAATTATTTTTTTTTGTATTAAAGTAGTGGTAACAATGATACTTTGAATAATTAATTTTAGTTTAAAGATCTTAAATCCAAAAATGAGATCTGTTTTTTATCAATTGTGTAGTTTTCATTCTGTAAAATCTACCTTTTCTTCCAAGACAATTAGCAAAATACTGGAAACAGTTCATATAAAGAGGATCTTCAGTTATTGTCTACAAATGCTTTTTAAGCATAACAGGATAAACAGATAAAAGAGTAATAAAAGTCTCAAGTAAAAAAAAGTATATGTAAAATTTATAGCTGTGTAGCGCTTTAACAATGATAGCATATATGTATAGTTTTACCATCAATAACAACAACAATAACTAAAAATTCATCACAAAAAAATAGAGTTGAAGTTTATTATACAATATGTAAACAACTTCTGATTTTGCGTCTCAAAATTATTTTAAAACAGTGTTTTACATTCTCGGCAAAAATATTTTTGTAATTTTTAGTAAATGCTAATAATGCATGAGTATTAAAAATACAATCATAATAAAATAACACTTTGAACAAAAAAGTAATAACGATGCTACAATAGCAACGTTAGTATACGCAGTTACAATGTTACAATAGCAACGAAAAACGATACTACAGTATCACCGTAATGAAGAAAAAGATATATGTAATATAAAATCACGTATTCAAACAAGATTTTCAAATAAGACGAAACAGTTATTTGTAACGTATGTTTTTAAAAAAAATGAATGAAATGAACATTTTTAAAATAATGATATACAATCTAAAATAACGTTTTCAAACAAAGTTTTTAAAAAATTACGTAACTTGAGATAATCCAAGGTTGTCCATTAAGTATCTAAAGAATTATCAATAATTTAAAAAATGTTGTATCTAACTAAAAATTACATTAAATTCAATTCTTTAAAATGCGTAAGGAATGGTATGAACTCTCACATGAGAATTTGTATTGTATTAAAGCGCGATAATCTTTTTCAGAGGTTTCAAAGTTAATAATTCTTTTAAAACATGTCACCATTGTCGTTTCAATATATATATATATCCTTATAAAAGCAAAGAAACTAAATGCTCTCATATCTCAGTTTATTATTATATTATTAATTATTATTCAACCTTTTTAATTTATAGATTGCATTTAATGAAAATATGAAAAAAAAAATCTCTAACACTAGTGTGTATATTTAATTATTTTAATGCTTATTATTAAATTATTTATAACCATGCGATTTTAAATTATAAATTTTTATTTTATATGAATGCTAAATATTAAAATAACTTCCAAAGACATGTGATCAAAATAACTGCAATGTTAGGGCGATTTATGCCAATTTTAATGCAATATATTGCAGATATTATGTGCAATAATATATAACATCTAATATAACTTTTTTTGAACGTATATTAAATAATATTATATATTAGCATGTCTCTTTTTTGAATAACGCTGAAAGTATTCATTAACTCCAAAGGTCTTTTTTTTTTTTTTTTTGTTTTATATAAGTGAATTTTTAAACTATATATAATATAATGATATTATGTCAAATAAATTTTAATTTATATACTTTGATTATAACTAACCATTGCATAAATTATACTGTGAATAAAGAAAAAACACTAAAACAATTCTCAAAAAATGCTTCAAAATATAGCAATTTAAAAAAGTAGTTTTAGTCTAGCCGGCTGATACTGCAAATATCTAGAGTATTGATCACATATTACATACCACTCTTGGTACCAGAAAAATTTAGTTTTAAGTTTTGAATTCGAGTTTAATACCAAGTATTAATCGAAAATACGTATAGGGTAAAACGTGAACTGTTTGCCATATTTTTGGACTTAGTCCGATATAAAGATTCATTTGTAGCTCGTCTTTTATAAATTATAAATCTTTTAGTCTTTGTCTGTAGAGTTGGTCTCTACAATGCTCATAGAATAAATGACTTCCGATATTAAATACGGTGGCTATAGCTTCCGAAAGAACCAAATGTCGACCACCAGCAAAAAACGTATATTTGCAATCTGGGAAAAATAAAAATACTTTTTAGAAATATTTTAATCTAAATTCTTTTGAAATATTTGTATTTGTATTTTTATTTTTTGTTCCAGTATTTGTATTTGTATTTTAAATACTTTTATAAAGTATTTTACCCAGCACTGCTCCATTGTTTGTTTCGAACCTGCTTATAAAGCAAGTGAACCTGCTTATAAATTGCGAACCTCCTTATAAACCTCCTGCTAATAAAGCAAGTGCTGTAACCACTGCACCACGGCTGCATCGCATCGAGTTGTCAACTTGAAGTTGTTCTTACCTGAATAAGATGATGTTTTGGACTTTCTTCTTTTTTTTGCATTGAAAAATTACTATATTAGTCGGGCTAAGCATGCACCACTTTCTTTTTTGACTGGGAGTTTTAATTTCTTTGCTATCTCAGTTGTCAAGCGTTTTTTCATTTTCTTAAATTTTATTCCCTCATGCTGTTTCTTTTTCCCTTTTACTTCCGCTAGAATGTATACAACTTGATCTGAAATCACAACAGATGCTGATTGAAGCTCTTGTATAACAGTGTAAACTTGAGCTAAGAACGGTATAGAATAGTGCAATGAAGAAAACATATTTATGACCATACATATCACCAGATTCAAAATAATATAAGATCAATAGTAAAATAAAATTTTAAAATGCCCATGATAAACCTAAAGCTTTTTTGTGCGAAGGAAACCACCTATACTGGACCTCTTTTTTTGTTTGAAGGTTATCACAGCCAAATGAGACATCAATTTAGTTGTTAAATTATCAGCAGAAGAGATACAGCAATGAAACCTTTTTTAGACAATAAATATACTGTTTACAGATAGCTACTACACAATATTTTTGCTAGAAACTTTTCGTTAGAATGACAGAGTTGCTCAACATATTACATATTTTAAGCACATAAAACTTAGAAATGCGCAAAACTTAGAAATGCGTAAAAATTAGAAGTGCGTAAAACTTAGAAGTGCGTAAAACTTAGAAGTGCGTAAAACTTAGAAGTGCGTAAAACTTAGAAATGCGTAAAACTTAGAAGTGCGTAAAACTTAGAAGTGCGTAAAACTTAGAAGTGGTACAAAAAATTAGCATTAAAAATAGTTTTACAGGTGATACTAAATGCATATAAAGTTTTCAGAAACAAATTTAGATGATCTAAAATAAAATTTTTGCATAACCTTATTATATCTTTAGTACTAATCATTCCGGCTATACCAAACAACGAAATACTTGATGATACAATATCTCAACTTACTAGCAGTCACTTCCCTTTATTCAAAGTAGCTTCTCCAAATGCAACAGATAAAAGATCAACCAAAACATGTAGAGTGACAATGCAAAAGAAATCTTTGAACTAAATATCAACCATTGAAAACAACATATGTTTGTCAATTTTGTCCAACTGAACTAGGGCTTTGTTCGCATAGGTAGACTTAATTATTTATCTTACAATTAATATTTTGTTTAATGTTACAAATTTAATTTGAAAAAGTTTATCTTAAAAATGATAAGTTTCAAAAAATTCTCATTTTTTAGATTTTTTATTTTTTTATTATTTCTCTTTGTTTTATAGAGTTTTTATGATAAATCTTTAACATTTTCGCTTGGAACTAGTTAAAACAGGTTTTATTTGTTGTATAAAATATTATTTGATTTATTTTTAAATTTTACTGCAAAAAAGCAAAACTTTGATTTATGTCGAAGGTCGTTTTTCAAGTCATACGACGTATTGGAAATGCGATAAAAAAAAATTTAATTATTTTATTCGATCAATTTGTTATTATAAAAAAGTTTCACAGAGATCTGCTTTTTATTTTAATCACTACAAGGTTTCAAAGTTACTGAGTCAGAAACAGGAATTTTGATTTTGGGAAAATAGAGAAAAATATCCCGGAAGTGAAAGGGTTAATATAACCGTTTTCAGATTTTCCAATGGCTTCCAGTGTAGGAGTCAAAGATACATAAAAGGTCATTGGATTACACAAATTATAATGTATTATAGGCAGCGGTGGCAATGATCTCTCTGCACTTACAACATATTTAAAAAAAAAAAACGAAAAAAAAAATGTGAAGGAATGTTACCATGCCACACTGGGCATTGTAAGGAACCAAAAACAAATGATGGGGAGGATTTCGTAACTTTAAGTAAAGTTTTTATAAACTGAAATCTTACGAGATACTTAATGATATAATTTAAAAAGTATTTAGATTTTTTTTTTTTGTTATTTAGGTGCCCCAGGAAGAGCACCGCAGAAGTGCATTTAACCAGGAAGTTTATGCCTCATTCCTTACCGTGACGCATAAATATGTCCACAGCTCGTTTCGAACTTTTCGGATCTTCAGAATTATGCAAATTATTATTAAGCAAAAAGGTTTATAAACAATAAAAATTATAGACTATATAAAATGGCGACTTCTAGAAAGTGAATATTGCGAAGACTGGAAAATTTTTAACTGCTTAATACACTGCGTGTATTAAGCCGTTAAACCTTGTAATAAGTGCGCCAGTGTTCATACTTTACGAATAGGTCATAAAAAATCAATTTTTTTGATTTTTTTTTTTTTTTTTTTTTGTGGCGAATAATAGTAAAGGTATTATTTCCTTCCATTGCTTGCCACCACTAGCCTACGCCCTACCTATCAAATTTATTGACTAATTTTATGTTTTTTTTAGTATTCCTGCATCCTAATAACAACCTGAGATAAAAAAATGAAATCAAAATAATTTGTTTTTAGAGTGATTATCAAAAAGCTTATCTAAAATTTATCGTTAAACATTAATGATATTTGGGCAAAGCTTTTTTTTGCAATGAACTCTGCTCCTTAATTTTAAATATATATATATATATATATATATATATATATATATATACATATACATATATATATATATATATATATATATATATATATATATATATATATATATATATATATATATATATATATATATATATATATATATATATATATATTATATATATATATATATTATATATATATATATATATATATATATATATATATATATATATATATATATATATATATATATATATATATATATATATATATATATATATATATTATCATAAACAGAACATCAGAGCTTTTTGAGATAGAATTTCAAAGCTTTCCAGCACTTATTTTTCCTCTGAATGTTTTTTATTGACCAAGTGGCCACTGGGTGAACACTGGAGGTTTTACTCTAATCTGTTTTTGTTATTTCTAATACATAAAAAATAAAAAATAGTGTGCATAGCGCATGCGTACACTATAATCGTTTAATAAAAATCGAAGCAAGAAGTCAGTGAAACGTTTTCACTTGATTTATGTTTCTTTTAAAAAAATTTTCTTAATTATTATTTTATTTTATTATATACTCTTATTATGTATCTTTCGGTCACGACTATTCAGGTATGCACAAAAAACTAAATGAAAACTACTTAAAATCCATAAAAAAACATCAACCTAATAGGAGGAGGGGGGGAGGGGTTAAAATAAAAATAACAAATAAGTCAAAGGAGTAAGGGGTGTCATCAGAAAAATTCTATAACATGGCGTTTTTGTATTTTTTTTTTATTTTAGTTTTAATATCATGGACTTATATAAAGCCAAAATATATCTTTTTAGCCTCAAAACCTATTCACCTATAATTTTTAAATACTTTATAAAAAGCTTTAAATCGTTGAATGAGCTTGGTACACAGCTCAAAAATAGAGGTTTTAATATTAGCAGAAGTGCTTTATATACTAGGTTGATACCAATAGAGAGAAAATTGTTTGAAGTAAAGAGACACGTCCACACGGTTCCAATCAAATTGATGCAAGCCCAAAACAATATAATTCTAGTCATGAAGATGATCTATTTTGTACAGCAACTATAAGCAATGTGGAAGAAGTTTGTTTTTTAGACACCAAAGATTTGTTCTTTATAAGTCAAGACAATAAATCTTGGATCCCGATTAGAATCACCGCTGCTAACAAACAAGCTCCTATATTAAC